GGGTCTGTAAGGGGAACCCGTTCATTCGATACATGCTTGCGGTGAGGACGTTGAAGTCACAGAGCGCCTTCATTCCTTGGTAACATAGTCCATGTCTCTGGGCTGTAAGAAGTTAGTAGATGGATTAGTCTAGCAACAGGAGCCATGGCCTCGATCAAGAAGAGCATTTAGAGATGTCGGTGCCTATGCAGAAGGACCAAGCTACGTGTACAGTTGGCATGGGGTACAGTTGAAAGGGCCATGTGTCCAACCGACAGTTACGCCCTGAGACCGGCATGGGACCTATTACTTGCATAATCCGGGATCACCAGTTCAGGCTTTACGGGTACCTAGTTGCGCGCGCGCGCGTGCGTGCGTGTGTGTGTGTGTGTGTGTGTGTGTGTGTGTGTGTGTGTGTGTGTGTGTGTGTGTGTGTGTGTGTGTGTGTGTGTGGATAAATCTGTCCTTGTATATCATACGTGCGAGTGTCTATAATGTACATATATACGTGAATTAACTCAATAGTATATGAATAAATAGCATTACCTAAACATTAAACTGAATGAATGAACGGCAAGGTTTTCATATTGACCTGATGCCGGCATACCTTAACTAAATATAATTTTAGTTACAATATGCCTCTTAGGCCTATGCTAGTGCAGTAAAAGATACAGATACATATATCTATGTGTATATATCAGTCCATATATGTATATATATATATATATATATATATATATATATATATATATATATATATATATATATATGTATATATATATATATATATATATATATATATATATATATATGTATATATATATATATATATATATATATATATATATATATGTATTTATATATATATATATATATATATATATATATATATATATATATATATATATATATATATTGCATGTATGTATGCATGCATGCATATATGTATGTATGCATGCATGTATGTATACATGCATGTATGTATGTGTAAATGCATGTATGTATGTATGTATATATGTATTATGTATTTGTACGTGCTTAGATAGCTATATGCGGATAGATAGTTTATATTTAGGTAAACAAACGGACATATACGCACCCAAACCTGGAACATCGCGGTGGCATGAAGGACAATTGACTGAAACTAATCCCCCGGGACAGAAAAGGGGGGCGAGGGGGTGGCACCTGTAAGGCTTGAGGCACACGCTTGAACGGCAGATCGGCCACGCTCAGTCCAGCACCCGAAGAGCTACAACGCACAGTTGCGATGGCATGGTGCTTGTTTGGAATAACGTCGTTTCTTGCATAGTGGTGCGTGAGTGCTTATATGAACGTTAAGGAAAGTGGCGCCAGTGTTCTGAGCACCGCAGCTGACCAGCGATTTTAATTTCTTGCCCAAAAAACTTTGAAAATACTTGGCAATGTCCCGGAAGACGATGGCAGAGGCACGGGGCATCGTGCTGGGCTGGGGCCCGAAAATGGGCGAGGACGCGCCCTTTCTGCAGCGCCTGTGGCCAGCAGTTCTAGCCAGTGCTGGCGAAGGGAACGGCCTGTCAATAGGCGCGCCCATCCTGGAACATCTCCTTTCTAACTGCGCGAGGGACTGCCTCAACTCCCGCAAGCGGCGCGACGAGCTGTCTGCCGCGCTGACGCCCATGATCGAGGCGTCGGACGACTCCGCGGAGGCCGCGGCCGCCCTCGCACGAGCCGCCCTCGAATACCACGACACCCACTTCCACAGCAACGGCGGGGTGTGTAAACTGGGTAAATTCCATAACATCCTGTACGTGGTCGTGTCCGTGGTTGTGGAGCAGGAAGTGCAGGATTCGGACACGGTGACGCAGCTGCTGCAGACGCTGCACCGGTGCGAGGGTGGGCTGGACCGCCTGGTGGCCCCTGCCCTGCTCGGGCCGAAGGTGTCGCACCTCCTCAGTTCGTGGCGCTCGGACACTGACTCGGCCGAGGAGGCCAGGCACCACCTGCAGTTCTTCGTCGACCACGCCCGGACGACCCGCCTATTATTGCCTCAGCCCAAAGGCCAGGCTATGCGTATGCTGGACGCTCCTTTGGTCACCCTTCATGGCGCACCGCCCCTCTATGTAGCCGTACAGGCTGAAGACGAAGACGCTGTCCTGCTTCTGCTTCAAAACGGCGCTAAACCTGCCATCGGCGGAGAACTCTGCCCGTTCCTTCTGGCGCTGCGGCGGCTGTCAAGTCACGCGCGAGCCACCATGGGCCAACGGGAACCCTGCTTATGCCCGACTACCCTATGTCCTTGTTTCTATGAGCACCCCATTCATTTCCCTCTGGAGACTGTAGGAGTGTTTAAGCTGATTCTCCGTGCCATGGGACGGCGAAGAATAGAACATGACCCCGAAATTCTTCACCCAAGATTGATAACAGACGGACTGCTTGGTGGGCCGCCCTCTCTTCGCCACTGGGCCAGGCTCAGCATCCGCAATTGCTTGCTCAAGAACTGGTCCCTCCCACACGGGACGAGGATGCTAGGCCTACCGGAGGC